TTCGGGAGATACGATGGAAAAACTAAAAAATTTACAAGTTCATAATCACTTGCCAATAGAAAACAAAACAAAAAACAAAAGGAAGTAAAAAAAGCACACTCGACTGTCTTGATTTTTTTCTCATAAACTACGTATCTAGCTCACTCGACCATCTGGAAAAACCAAGACAGTCGAGTGGGCTAAGTACGTAGTTTGTGGAAAAAATCTCCAGTTCTCTGAACTTTCATAGCGTCGTATATACATCTTTGGTGCCCAATGATAGTTTCAATATAAAAATAGGCTCATGATATGATGCCATGGCCTCTACTTCCATCTTACATGAGCAATGATAAAATATCATCTGCTTTTATAGCGTCGTATAAATTATCTGACCTCTATACTAATCTAATATCTAATGAGAACTACATCAATACTAATCTGATAACTTTCAAAAACTACGTACCCCACTTGTTATACGACGCTATACATAGTGGAGTATACTACGGCCGTGCCAAAAATGCTATCTCGGAAACTAAGCGAGATAGAGGTATAGTTGCTTTGGAGAAAATGATCCCCATCGAATTTTGAGCAACTTTGGTTTTTGTGTGTGGTCTGTCTGTCTGTCTGTCTGTACTCTGTGTTAATCATAAATCGATATATCTCCGGAACCCTTTGACATATCGACTTGAAATTTTGCCATCTTATTGTACTCAAAACAATATTATGTCATTGAAATATGAAGGAAATCGGAAAACTCTAAGGTGGTTTTTCCGGGTTTTTTCGATTTTTCACCGGAAGTTCCTTGTAACCACTCTACAAATCGCAGAAGTGGTCCGATCGATTTCATTTTTTGTGAAAAAAACCTCTATCAGGAAGAGACGAAGCCTATTGAAATTGAGCAGGGTCGGAAAATTCCAAGTGGGTTTTTCAAGGAGATTTTCCGAAAAACACGGTTCGCTTTAAAACGACATATCTCGTGAACAAATAGACTAAATCCAAATTTGAGAAATGCACCGTATGCCTCTTTGATGACGCAACAAATTATCATTCAATCATTTTTTCGTGCATCCATCGGAAACTGGAAAAACAAATGAAAACCCAAACATCAAAATTTGAAATCCTTTTAATTCAATATATATCGAAAACAAATGGAAAAATCGAAAATTATCAAGAGTGCAATGTTATCCACTGGAACATTCCCTACAAATCATTTTCCATAATTTTTTCTGTAAACCCAATAGTACAGGAAATAATGTAAAAAATATGAAAAAAAAAATTGAACGACCCATAGGGTACCATGAAGATAAATTGAAAAACAAAATATTGTCGATAGATGAAGCTCATCTACCTCCACTGAGGCATGGAATATTTTTTCATTTTGTTGATTGGAAGATGGAACAAAAGTGTTGAAAATTTTATTCTCAGATGATTCCAAATATCTCGAAAACAACTGGAAATATCTGAAAAAGTTATAGAACCAAAATTATTCCTTTTGATAGAATCTACAAAAAATCCAGATAACATTTTTCTCTGAATTCAATAGTTCGGGAGATACGATGAAAAAACTAAAGAATTTACAAGTTCCCAGATAATCACTTGCCAATAGAAAACAAAACAAAAAACAAAGAAAATTAAAAAAAGCACACTCGACTGTGTTGATTTTTCTCACATAAACTACGTACCTAGCTCACTCGACTGTCTCAATTTTTTGCCTATAAACTACGTACCTAGCTCACTCGACTGTCTTGATTTTTCGCCAATAAACTACGTACATAGCTCACTCGACTGTCTTGATTTCCCACAAAGAAGAAATATGTTGGCATTGTTTGAACTTTCTTTTGTTTTTGATTTTGTAGTCCCTATTGGCAGTCGAGTGGGTTAGGTACGTAGTTTGTGTGGAAAAACCAAGACAGTCGAGTGGGCTAAGTGCGTAGTTTGTGGGAAAAATCTCCAGTTCTCTGTACTTTCATAGTGTCGTATACACATCTTTGGTGCCCAATGATAGTTTCAATATAAAAATATGCTCATGATATGGTGCCATAGCCTCTACTTCCATCCTACATGAGCAATGATAAAATATCATCTGCTTTTATAGCGTCGTATAAATTATCTGACCTCTATACTAATCTAATACCTAATGAAAACTACGTCTATACCACAGTTTAAGGAACTGTGTCTATACTAATTTGATACCTTTCAAAAACTACGTACCTCACTTGTTAACTTATATGCTCGATAGATTTCGAAAGATCATTGATCTCTTTCTGACGTCCTAGAAGAGAGTGATGAATAGTTCATATTCCACGCAGTTTTAGTTGCTATCAGTCAAACACCGAGTTGATCGTCTGTATGCAGTTTTCCTTCTGTTCAAGGTTCAAATCAGTCTAAAAAATTCAGTCGAAGTTTTCGTCGCTAACATTTTCTTTTTAATATTGATCACATTGATAAAATTCTTCTTTTCTAGCTGGATGTGAAAACGGATGTTCTGGCCACGGCCAGTGCACATTGGAAGAAGGTCTCTATAAATGCGTATGCATTCAAGGATGGGCTGGTTCTGATTGCAGTATTCCACTAGAACAGGATTGTCAAGATGACATAGATAACGACCACGGTAAGTCAAGATTTGATCCCCAAATTCCCGATGACAAATCACTATTCAAACTTCTTTTTTTCTGTGACGGGAAAATAGTTTGGCATTCCATCTCTGTTGGCAGGTTATAAAATGTCACTTCTCATAAATTACTTTTTTCCCGTGGGTATGATGCAAATGTATGGAATAAATTCATTTCAAAACAAGACGACTTCCGAAAAACATCCAAAAACTAGAGTTCAGAACTTTTCTTATTGTGTATTTTTTCAACTAGACGACCCTTCGATGTTCAATTCTCAGTAGCAGACCTCTGCAAGATTCAGTTAACCAAATGATAATCCATTTTAATTGCAATATTCTTATGCAAAATTTTGACTGTTGGATAGACGATCAGTAGACCTTTCAAACGAGGTGTCACATGACCCCTGTTTGTATTTGAAAAAAATCGTCCATTACGTCATTACTCCAACACCAGTGACGTAACATCTCTCATATGAATGTCATGAGATGAGGCTTCAAAAATTAAAACTCACGTGTTTTTGGAATTTCTTCAAATGTCGCCCATTTCTGAAACAATGAATTTATTCCATACATTTGCATCATACTGTATATATATATATATACATTGTTGATGGCTTTTGTTGTGCTATAGTTCGGAAAAATGGGTCAATAATACCCTCCCGAGAAAGAACTACAAGTCCTTTTATCTTCTGTTATGAATATATCGAAATTGTGATTTGTATATCACACCTTGATGTTTTACAATCCTTATTTCTAAGTATGATGACTTTATCGATGAGAATCTCATTTCTTCTGACAATAATAGTTATTTATGCAACAAGTGCAAAAAGTGAATGTTTATTGCACTCGAAATTGTCCGACGAGGTCGTTAGGCCGAGTTGGACAACATGTCGAGTGCAATAAACAATTTTTGCACGAGTTGCATACAACATTTTTTCTACGTTCATGCAAAAAGCAAAAAATGATTTATTGAGGTGCGGCACTAGGTACAATTCTGTTAATTGTCAGAATTAATTTTTGACTGACGTTTCTATAACCACAGTTGCAATACAAAAAATGTTTGTCATGATGACAGCACGTTGAAGTAGAATGGCAGATGAGTGCAATAAAAACGTTATTGCACTAAGTGCAATAAAGAACTCCTTTTTCCACTAAATATAGTTCAATAAAGGTCTGCTTTTTGCATGAATGTAGAAAAAATATATTTTTTTACAAACGCTTAACAAAGTAGCCTTTGCCGCCTTCAAATTCCAGCACAAAGTTGACGTTTTCCCAGAAATGTCATTCTTTGACAGCATTTGCGGTCGTGAGCGGAAATATTGAAAAAACGCTCGCACATCTCTGTAACCTATACTTATCTATTCTTGAAAACCCCCAATTCTTTCATGATGGAAAATAGTGACAGTGAATCATCAAACACACCTCCTGATATAGCATATAAATTATACAATATGATACATTCATGAATTGGTGCAACTCCGAGATGGTGAATATGTATTCAGAAAACGTTTTACTGGCTCGTTTTGGTGAAAAATCAAAGACTTTGAAGTCATCAACTCATTGGTCTATATATTCGATGGTACGTATACATGCTTGAATGTTAAAGATAATATCGAAATCAATAAGTATCTGATACTTATCGCATTTCTCAAGGAACAATCTATTGGATATAAATCGAAAAAAATCCAAAACATTCACCGCTGAAGATATATACCAACAAATTTCTACAAGAAGCTCCCGATGAAGCATATCTGTTGAAATCGATGAATTATAATTTATATTTAAACTCTTTGTTGTCATCAGAAAGACAGTGTGTCTTTATTTTATTGCATCAATAAGTAATGTTCAATTTGATTGCAGAGTTTATCGTACTATGGCTCAGAGGTCTGAAGCTGAGGTTGCCTCGCAGATGGTCCAGTTTCAATTCTCAGTAGGCGCGAAATTTTTTTTCTGGCTTGTCAGTTATTTCAATTTTTCTTTTTTTTGTTTCCTTTGGACATATGGGATAATATGGATAAGAACTTTTTCAACTATTTCAATCGCTCATACTTTCAGGGCAGTTATTTCCAAAAGCTGCGTTAGTAGAAAAAAACTTGTATGTATTTCGAGCACAAAGTGTTATTGCCGCTCTCCAAAGATTACCGCGCTCCGCTCCGCATCGCGCGGTAACTTTCTTTGTCGAGCGGCAATCTATCACTTTGTGCTCTAAATACACAAATTGCTATTGATTTGATTTTGATTACTGCTGGCGATCTTTCGTCGTGTGCAGATTGGAATATTCCTTCGATAAAAAGCTTAGAAGGGAACTAATTTGAAATGAATTGGCGTGCCTCTTCTCTTTCAAGAATCAGTGTTTTTGTTCCAACTTGAACTGTTTCAGCTACTATTACCGATGTTTTTTCTAGATGGAATGATCGACTGCTCAGACAGCGAATGTTGCTCCCACCCTAGCTGCTCCGACCACATCATGTGCATCTCCAGCAACGATCCAGTCGAGGTTTTGCTCCGCAAGCAGCCGCCTTCAGTGACCGCATCTTTTTACCAGCGCGTCAAGTTCCTCATCGAAGAGAACTCGGTGCAGTCGTACGCCCACATGGACGAGTACACCGAAAGGTAAGTGGGAAAAGTTCGATCGGTAACTTAGAGCTTTTTCATTGATCCGCCCAGGGTCGCGGCTTCCTAGTCGAGAAGAATATTCTGCCAGGGATTTCACATGTTTAGAGAATGTGCCCTCTAAAGCATTTGCTGGCGTTGATAGAATACGGAGAAGACAGCTGCGATAAATAGAGGTGCAGTACTGAAAGCAGTATCAACATCTTCAGAATAAATCAGACAGCTGATCACTTTCCACAACAATGCTCATTTTGACATAATGCAGAACATACATCATTCTAACTATAATCGAATATCAAAATTTGCTCCCAGCTACTATTTGATTGCACGAAATTATCTCTGTCCTATCATTGGATTCGAACCTGTTAGTGACCTTGGTGAGTCCACCTCAAGTCTATTAAATTTTGCTGATGATTATTTCATTCTAAACTATAGTCAAACGCAGGTGACAACTGAATCGATTTAAAATAATCAAATTCTCAAGTACCGATAGTACATCTCCATAATATTGATCACTGAATAATTTTGGGAATATTATGATATAGTTTCTTTAGACCTTCGCGTATAAATTTTTTTGGTGCAGTATGGATCATGAAAAATGTCTGCCTTTCTATCAATGTCTTTGGAAATAATGAGTAAACATAGTAAATTCTAGAAAAGTTTAAGAGGTAGATCTTGTTAGGCTAATATCCATAATGAGCTCAAACTCGAATTGCAATTCCAACTACCAACTCTGCAAATTGTGATGAATGCCGATTTGTCTTTCTTTCTATTCAGAAGTTTTTCAGTTATGTCTAGTTAATGGGCAGACCGAATAAGAATGCATTCACCCAAGTCTCGGAAATTCTTGATGAGTAAACATTTCAGGTCATGTCTGCAGACAAAATATTTTTCAAGAATCCAAGTTCGAAATTGTGGATGTTCTTAATAATTTCCTGGATTTTGTAGAAGATGAAGTCTCCAATTATATTTTTCGGTGAACCATGCATATCCTTATGAAGTTTTCGTGAAAACTCCAGAATTTCAATCATTGAACAAGTTTTTATTTGTATTGAACTTTTTTTTTATGGAACTGCAGAATTTGCATTGTTTCCTTAGTTTTTTGAGTGAACTTTCATCAAATTACTGAGTAAACGCAAGGAAAACTAATTGATTATTTCTCTGCGAACAGAACCAGTCTAGACATTACTTAATATTGATACAGTCTGCCTGCCAAACCGAACGTTGAAATAATTTTCTAGAGAAAAGTCAGTTGATCTTCATTATTCCAAATTTTTTGGGATTTGCTCTCCTGGTTTCTATAAAATAAAAATATGAATATCATTTCAATATACGTGTAGTAAGGACAAATCAGATGATTTGCCCCAAAATGTCACTGCGTTTAAAGAATTTTCCTATCAGAAAGCCTAAAAGAAAAATTCACCAGCTTGTCAGTGACAATTTGTATTGAAAGAGGAGAAATAAAAGGTATAAAGAAAAAATATCGAATTTTCACTTAGCTTTGGACGTTTCGGAAACGAATCTGCTCCCGTATACAATATAAAAAATGGTTACTTGAATAGCTAATTCGTATTTGTCTTGAAACTTTTCAGTTCTAAGTGACAATTGGTGATGTTGGCAATCAAATGAGTTACAGGATGTTTTCATTAATTAATATTGAATTCACCATTTTCATTCTCAGATTTCAGTAGTGAATACCATGTTCTATCTATATCAACTGAACAGGAAGCAATGACATTGTCTGCGTTCAGAAGAATGCAACCAGATTCCTTGAATTTTCTCTTCTGGTTGTTATCTTCTTTTCCAATGATTTGGATAGAATATGATATTCACTACTGAAATTTGAAAATGCGACTGGTAAATTCAAGGTTGATTAATGAAAACATCCTGTAACTCATTTGATTGCCCACGTCACCAATTGTCACTGAAAACTGGAAAGCGAAACAAATACAAATTTGCTATCCAAATAACCATTTTTTAATGTTGGAAACGGGAGCAGATTCGTTCCCGAAACGTCCAAAGCTGAGTGAAAGTTTGATATTTCTTCTATATACTTTTATTTCTTTTCTCCAAACCTTCAACACAAATTATCACTGACAATCTAGTGAATTTTTCTTTCAGGCTCTATGATAGGAAAATGTTTTAAACGCAATGACATTTTGGGGCAAATCATCTGATTTGTCCTTACAACACGTATATTGAAATAATATTCATATTTTTATTTCATAGAAACAAGGAGAAAAAATCCTAAAAAATTCTGAATAATGAATGTACCACCTCGTCGATTAACCTACAGACAGTATCAGTTGATATTGTTCATTTATTTGGAGTTATTCACATATAATTATTATAGATTCGTATGCTGAAATTAATAGAATTCACACTACATCAATAACATTACCTATCAAGGAATGAATTAACTAATTTTTCCCCAACTGTAGACATCGAAAAAATGTATTCATTAGAAATCGTTTGAACAGTACCATCCCTGGCAGACTTATTCCTCTACATGGAGGCACGACCAGGGCCAAAAATCAGCCACGCTGCGCGATCCTCAACCGCGTTCACAGGACTTCGGCTATGCACGTTGGCCGCAGGTTCGGGAGGTATCAACCCCCTCTCTGGCTCTTTGCTCGGGCATCGCACCCCCTTAGCGGAGCTCTCTATCCCACGACCAACCCTACCCCCTCCCCCCTAACGCCGCTGCTGTCGCCAGGAGCAAAGACTACAGAAATAATCTATAAGATGAGTCACTCATCTGAGTGTAGTCCAGGAAAGTTAGCGTTACACTTTGGAATTCGATAGAGCAGACTCGATTTTTATGGGGCAGAATGGGTTTTTTTCATAATTGCATTTACATCAAAGTCTAATCGGCTCATGTGCCGCTGAATTCTCTATTTATCATTTATTATAAACGAATTGAGTATTCTGGCTGTTTCGAGGGGTAGGGAAGACCAGTTCTCTATTCGTTTATTGATTTTTATTTCATTATTATAAACAAATCCAGCGTTTCATCTGTGATCGGACTGAGAAAGGCAGATTTTCACGCACCAATCACTATATAAAGACAAATTTTGCCTTCATTGGGTAAACGACATTCTGATTGTAATTATAGGTAGTCCAAAATCAGAAGGGGTCGAATGATCTTAATTTGTTTTACCAATTAACCATAATGAACATAATATGAGGAAGATTTTTAAAAAATAAACTACACTCACCGGCAAAATAAACCGGCAACCAAAAAATTTGCCCAAATTGTTATCACACTATAACTTTTTCAATCCTCATCGGATTTTTGTGAAATTTAGATCAAATCGTAGATTCATGTTCCGGAATGTCAGCGTAAATATTAGTTTTCCTGAAAAGCTGATGACTTGATCATTATACATGGAAAAACCAAACTCTTTCACCCTACACTTCTCAACACCCTGTGGCAAAATTGCGTGATTGAACATGGCTTCATTATGCTTCGGATTGAATTGTGATCCCTTTAACACAAATGTTTTTGATTCACGTCAATATCTTATATTTGAAAGAAGATACGAGTGTTTTAAGGATGTATGGTGTTTTTCAACTTTTATAATCATCAATAATCAGAACTTTCAAGAACTTATTGATTACCAACTTCAAGGATTAATATCACATATTTCTACCGTACTTTCTTAGCACTCACCGGAAAATCAATTACTAAAAACAAACAAGAAGCAGACCTGTAGTCAATAACGAGTATGCTCTCCTCGATATTGAATTACAGCATTCAACCGCAGTAACATCGAATTAATCAAATTACTCAAGAAGCCTTGAAGAATTGCCTAAAATCCTCCTTGAAGGACGAATCATAGCCCTTGAAGAGTATCTGACAAGGCTGGGCGAAGGCGAATGATCCTCTAGAGGTCACCTCTAAGATAGGTAGATAGGTTCTGGATTATTATTATTGAAAATTGAAAAATCTATACTTTCTTGAAACACTTGTATCTTCTCTCAAAAAGGAGATATTGAAGAAGGAACAAGAGAGGATCACACTTTAATTCAAAACATGATGAAGCAAAATGTTGAAGAATGGTTGTGAATTATTGTGAATAAAAATTTTAAAAATCCATACTCTCTTGAAACACTTGTATCTTCCTTTAAAAAGTGGTTATCGACGTGAATGAAAAACCATCACGTAGAGAAGAGATCACTCTTCAATCTAAAACATAATGAAGCTAAGTTAAACCACTCACCTTTCCCACAGGGCTTTAAGAAGTTGAGGGTGAAAAAGTAACTTTCGTTTTTCTCTGTATAATGATCGAATCATCAGATCTTCTTAGGAACTAAAAACTAGGCTTACATTTGGAAACATGAATCTACGATTTGGTCGAAATTCCACGAAAATCGGACCAGAATTGAGAAAGTTACAGAGCAAACAATTTGGCTAAATTATTTGGTGGCCGGTTTTTTTTTGCCGGTGAATGTATATTCTCCTTCAACGTCATCATTTTTCAATACCATAATGGTCTTCAACAACCTATATACAACACCGTTTAATCCATCAGAATTGTCTGGTCCTTGTCCTGGCCGCAGATCTAGATTTTTTATAACAAATGGAAATCAATAAACGAATAAAGATAGTCTCAAGCCAAGTAAAGTCAAGGTACAAAAAAGAACAAGAAGAACTGACTGAAACGCATAAAAATTTTGCTCGCCTGCCCTTCGTAACAGTTGAAATAAGTACGTTGTTTGTCTATAATAATTGTTCATTGACAGATGAAAAAATGAGGGATGTAGACTTTGATGCACATGCAACCTCGAAGAGAACACACTTCGCCCCATCAAAATCGAACGTACCTTATCGAATTCTGAGGTTTGGCCCTATTTTCGTCCAACTTTCATGGACTAGTAGTCTCGCCGCCTGCTGGATTCTGTTGGTAAACGCCTTCGTAATGTCTGTCGACCAATCCCATCCGTTTGGAGGTGCAATGCTTCATGGGGAAGCATAAAAGGCAATGTTGGGTCATACCGACAAACGGGGACCAGTGAGTGAGACATCTTCTAGATTTCGGTAATCTTTGCCGGTAGGAGACGTAGCGGCGCGGGATATCATTGTGTCTTTGTCTGAAACATCCCTGTGTTCGTCTATACCCCCACTCCTAGCCCGAGCTGTCGCTCAGTAAGCGGATTATCCTCCATTTTGAAAGGTCTCGAAGGCTATAGTTTTGCGGGAGTTTACGATTTTGATAACGTTACTATTTAGCTCTAGGTATTTATAATATAATAGACATGGTGGACACAAGTTGAGCATTTCATATGATTATGTTTGCTTGTTCCGAATATTGAGCTTACAGTGGTGATGTGTTCTCTCACCTTTTCAACAAAAGTGAAGACGAAATTTTTCATCGAATATTATTATTTCTGATGTGGAATCTTTTTTTTTTCAATGTCTTTCCACAGGCACTTCATACATTTTTCTTCCCACCCGTCCAAAAGGAAAGTAACTATAAGAAACAATTCTATTTTATTCACTCATAACTCCAAATTCAACGTTCAATATCAACGAACACCCATATATCACATCATAATGTTAGTCACATAAATCAACGTATAGAGTATCATACAGAGTGGGCCTTTGAAAACGAAACAGAGGCTCTGTAGGTCGCCAAAACCGGATTATCAAAAAAAACTGAAACAGGTCAACGACATTTTCGAGGGGGACATCTTTCTAAAATATTTTCAGCCCTGCGGCGTTGCCGCTGCTAAAGAAAAGAAGCAACAACTTTGTTATATCAAATGGAACACCTTGTATTTTATTGCATTTTTAGATTCTCCCCGAAGAGCTGATTTCATCAATGCATCACACTTAGGGTCTAGCTGTAATGGTTTCAGGGATATAAAGTGTTCAAAATCGAGATTTTTCAACTTTAACATTTTTTTGTGTCGAAACTATTCATTATTGGTCAAAACGGCTCTCATGTCCCGATCTCAACTTGTGATTTACTATCTACTGACATTTATTTGAAACAAATACAGGGTGGTTCAAGATTCAGAATTCTGATCACCCTGTATCTGTTCCAATTAAATGTCAGTAGATAGTAAAACACAAGTTGAGATAGGAACATGAGAGCTGTTTCGACCAATAATGAATAGTTTCGACAAAAAAAAATGTCAAAGTTGAAAAATCTCGATTTTGAACACTTTATATCCCTGAAACCATTACAGCTAGACCCCAAGTGTGATGCATTGATGAAATCAGCTCTTCGGGGAGAATCTAAAAATGTAATGAAATACAAGGTGTTCCATTTGAAATAACAAAGTTGTTGCTTCTTTTCGTTAGCAGCGGCAACGCCGCAGGGCTGAAAATATTGTAGGACGATGTCCCCCTCGAAAACGTAGTTGACGTGTTTCAGATTCTTTTCATAATCCGGTTTTGGCGACCTACAGAGCCTCTGTTTCGTTTTCAAAGGCCCACTCTGTATATATCACTAAACGAATCATTTAAATATTCTCAGGTCATTGAAGATTTTCAGTCATCCAATCAGATGGTACCTATAGGTACTTATAAGTACTCCTTCCTCAACAGTTAACACCTTATAGTGGGTTCAACTCGACGATATCTCAACAAATTATGTGTCTTAGCATCCAAAAATATCCCAATAGATATTCTATTTTATGTAAATACATATTCCTTTTCAATAATGGGAATTTTCTTACACGATTTTTCACACGGATATGAGAACTATATTTTGAGTTTCTTACATTGTTTGTTTTAAATTTTTTTCATTCAGAATTAGTTAGAATGTGTATCACATTTCATCAAAGTTAACAAAGAAAGTATTTATGGAACATGAAACAAAACTTAATTATTTGTAACCGAACGAAAGTTACTATACTAACAATAGGTTATTAAAGAGTCCTATAATTTCACTTCGAGTTTGCAACTTCAAGTTGAATCACTAAGAATACGAGTTGGCATCATATTACATATAAGGAAACTTCATAATGACGAAGGAAATCCTATCGAATAATGATGGAATTATGTTTTCTCTCAAGAAGTATAGTGATAGTTCAGAATTCGAAATTTGATATGAACAGTGAGTAGATTCAATGGAAAATATATCGAATGATCATAAGTGGATACGGCAGCAACAAATGTAACATGAATATCAATGAATATGTCATCATGAGATGTAGCGATTTTTTCAAAAATCGACCTGTTACCTCAAAGTAATTCGAATTGGTTCAAGATTTTTGACAGAATTTCCGATTGTATTATGAGCACACATTTTTTGTTGAGATAATTTCACTCGCTTCATGAAACTCTCGTATCCTGCGTGAACACCAGATCAGTGTGACTAACATTATGTCCTATTTGATAACCACGACAACTTGATCTCCAGCATGAAAGAGTACTATTGTGTCACATCGTTCTGATTGTTTTTCATATCGCAGAAGATGAGAGTGGAATTCACAGGACTAGCAATTGGATTCCAATCAAAAGTAATATTGAGTATCGCACTATCAGTATCATTACTATCCATTGAACATGTTTTTTCAGAAGGGGTACAAGTCAATAACCCTTCCATGAAGATATTTCTTATTCACGGAAATGTTGAAATGATAAGGTATTTGGTATCGATAGGCACCCTCCAATGATTCATCAATAATTCATACTCTGATCTTGTTTACCACTCAGCATCCTTCATACATCTTGTGTTAACATGCGTATTTTTCTGATACTCACCATCTACCATCTATTTTCTTTGCAAAACAGCATTCGCCTAACTTGTGTCTGTCATTGTCCGTAGCTATAATTTATTTTGTTTATGTTTTTATTATGGTTTATTGTGTGTACGTCGAATTGTGTCGTCACTAATAGAACGTAAGATGAGAAGAGCGAATGGGTATTAGAGCAAAATGTCCGTCTTAACTTGTCTTTGGCATACCATGATGGAAATTTATGTATCCTTCATTCATCATGAATAGTTATGATTTCGATATCCAAAAACAATATATAGTTATAAGAACCCAAATATTTGTGTACACGATACATTGGCATGTTGAGGATAACATCTTTCGAAATAAAAATCAAGTTCTAGTTATTGTCGTGATGACACTATGATATGTTTCTGTATCCTGCAGACCCAACCGTTACTGAATATGCTGCTTCAGAATATCTGAAAGCATCATGCTTTATTTCTCATATCTTCCGCCTGATTTTTATGCCTGACTGAGTGGATTCAGTACTCGACAATCAGTCGATCTCAAGGAAAGATTCTATTGTTAATCTCACAGATCGATAGCAAGGTTGAACTGTTCATACAGTGGCTTCTCTATTCCTCAAGTGATTTTCAATGGGGAACTCAAGACAATACCATCTCGTACAAGTACGATTATATTCTTCAATCAGGTTATCCTTCGAACCATTATGGAATAATACAATCAGTATACATTCGGGTGAACATATAATTGACAATCTTGCATATCATAAATTCGGATTCAAATTATCATGCTGAGTTTGAAGTTCAACAACAGGAGATTCTATAGAATCAGGTCGACGACTAAGCAGAAGAAGATGACAAATACATCTCAAATGCATCAATGATTGATTGATCTCGAATTTCCGTATTAGTTCTGCAAGAAAATTATTATTATTATGTGATATCTTCAAACGGTGCTGGAAGTTCTGTTTTTACTTCACTAAAAATAAATCATTTGTCTATCGTTCGATCCAGAATCCGACTTGTATATCTACTTATTCAGAAACCGACTTGGATAGCTATTGATTCAGAAACCGACTTGAATATCTACTGATCCAGAATCCGACTTGCATATCTACTGATCCAAGATCCTACTAGTATATCTACTAATTCGATAACTGTACTGTAAATCGATAGAAAAAATCAAGAATGGAAAGATTAATGAAAGCTCCATTATGGTATGTCAAATGCTTAGCAGTACATGCGCAACACCGCACTATCATCTTTCAAGCCTTGAACTCGTTCGATTCGACAGTGCGAGGTGCGCATAGTATTGCAGTGTGATTAGTTAACTGTCCTTGTCTTCTGTGTTCCCTGTGTCGCTGCTGCTGCTGCAACCCCAAATGTAGCGAGTTCTGGAACTCCTTTACACCGCGGTAAGTGGCAGCATCTCCCCATGTTCGTATACTGTCTGTCTGTTCGTCAGTTCGTGTGCTGCCTGTTGAAGAAAATAAAGATATTTAGCCTGAACCCCTGGCGAATACATCGTTTCATCGTCATACGCTAGTTAGTCGTTCAAGATTCAAGATAAAACGAATACTTTGTTCAATCACAAGAATAGAAATTTACGTACAAGTCGGGAAAACACTGTTTTTGGACGTGTTACGTACACTCTTTTTCGGCAACCATGTAGAATAACAATTCAATGAAACACATTTCCATATAATATTTCTTTGTATGATACAATTTCTTCTTTATCAATTCTTATTTGTATCAGATACTGAAATTTGAACAGAATACCTATTCGTATGGACTATACAGGGTGATGGAGAACGAGAAGACAAAACATTCTGAAAATTGGAATGCTTCAATAATTGAACATTTTCTATCCGTCTAAAATATTTTCATCGATACAGTGTTGCCACTTCTATCAGAAACAGCTAGCAACTATGTTATTTCAAATGGAACACCCTGTATTTTATTGCATTTTTGGATTCTTCCGAAGGAGCTGATTACATCAGTGCATTACACTTGGGGTCTAGCAGAAATGATTGCAGAGAAATAGGGTATTCAAAATCTAGATTTTTTAATTTTAGGATTTTTTGGTGTCGAAACTATTCATTATTGATCAAAACGGCCCACATGTCTTCATCTCAACTCTTGATTCACTATCTACTGGAATTTAATTGGAGAAAATACAGGGTGCTTCAAGATTCAGAATTCTGATCACCCTGTATCTGTTCCAATCAAATGTCAGTAGATAGAGAATCGAAAGTTGAGATAGGGACATGTAACCGTTTTGATCGATAGATAATGAATAGTTTCGACACAAAAAAATCTCAAAATTGAAAAATTCCGATTTTGAACACCCTATATCTCTGTAATCGTTCCTGATAGACCCCAAGTGTCATGCATTGATGAAATCAGCTGTTGGGAAAGAATCTAAAAATGCAATAAAATACAGGGTGCTCCATTTAAAATAACAAAGTTGCTGGTTGTTTCTGATAAAAGTGACAACACTGTATCGATGAAAACATCTTAAACGAATAGAAAATGTTCAATTCTCAAAGCATCCCAATTTTCAGAATGTTCTGTGTTTTCGTTCACCAGATACTTCTAATAGGCCATTCACCGCGGATCACCCTTTATATTCGTGAACACTTCCCAGACGGTTGCCGAAAAAATGTTTTTCAACTTCACTAAAACATACCCTATAATTCGAGAGAGGGGTGGAATATTCAGATATTGGTTGAGACATAGAAGATGAACGTGACTGCTCTAACTTTCAACACAATTTCATTTCGTGTATTCCTTTTGTACTAGTGTTATAGTTCATCGATTGCCAGTATTCACATTACTATTCGTACAATGGCATTCAACATCAAAATAGCCCCTGAAGTTCCACGCTTTTGACGGATTTAGGTCAACTCACTACAAAATTAATCACCTGTTGAAAAACTACAACCCTAAGGGAGCTGAACTTTTTATATGTCTGAGCTTCGCTCAGAATGAAGGAATACTCTGGATGTGAAGACGTTATCTGGTCCATTTTCTATGAGAGAGGACAAAAAAATCTCATGAATATCTGATATATGCTACTGTGTTACCTAGACACCTATTTTTTGTCCATCGATAATGGATTTTTGATTTGATCAGTCCTGCTGAAAGAATCTTTTTTGTTCCACTCTCTTGTGACTTTCGTACGAAGTTACAAGCATGAGATTTCTTTTTTTGTTCTAGACTAGGCTGAAAATGTGATTACTATTCTTTCGATGAGTTCGGGTATTACATTGTCATCAGTTTCCCATTCCTCCTTCTCAATGTTCGAAAAAACGGTTGATAAGGATGATGAAAAGTTGTCTCGGAAGTTTCTCGGTAATTATTTTCACCACAGACAAAAATAATTGGCCTGATTGAAAGAATTCTGGAATTAAAATGGTGCCACGGGACATGTTAACATGAAATGTATTCACAGCCAGATTATTCATTCATCCAAAACGTATGAAATAACTGCATATTCTAAGTTTTGTTATCGAATGAAATTTTAATTGATCGAAACAAGATTCAAAAATTGAGATAGTGAGGATGTAAAATGTGTTATCTTGATCGATTGTATAGATTCAGTTTCCATCGAGATATTTTTCTACTGATATCCTACAGAACATTATTTATCCATAAATTGAATCAGATATGTTAGTAAATTTCAAATGTCTTGAATCTTAAGCGGCTATTACACCTCCACCCTCTGTATGTTTTCCATGACATTTCATGTACCTTCTCCTCAATGTTTGTTCATATCATGTTCATGCTTTTTTATCTCTAGAATCTCTTAAGATTCATCAGTGTAATTTTGAATTGGTACTGGCATAGTAATTTCGAAACTTCAAATGATCATTGTTGAATCATTTAAGAGGTTCCTGAACATTTTGATTGCAATGAATGTTCTAATGCTCTTCCTACTATCGCTATAATCCATCATGATCGTTTTCATCTACACTCGTGATAATCTCTGGACTGAATTGGAAATCAACAGCACTCAAAATCTCGCATTTGGTGTGTAATGGAAGAGATTTGATTCAAACTCCAGGAAAGGATAACCTTGTATCTTCTAGGTTTCACCATAGATCACCCAGCTACCAGATGCGAAAGCTTTGATATTGAATGGCTCAAAATTGGTCACCTTGAATAACACCACCACATACACAGAGAAAAATGTATCATTGATTTCACACGTCACTCTTCGACCTACACTGAAAGAGTTGCTCGCACTATACGCAGAAATGATTAAAGTCTTTTTGTAACCTATTAATAATGAAAAAAATACGCAATAGTAAAAATGGAGAAATTGAAATTACTTGATCATTTATATTTGGCCCAAGTGGAGTGGAGTGATTGAAGCAGGGTTTAACCAATCTTTGTTGAAATAATTTACCCTTGTAACCATTTTTGGCAGGACGACCTTTTTTTCACATCTGGGTAGTTTGGTGATCTGTGGTTTTCTTAGAATATCTCGCCAAATTTCATTCATTTATCATTACATTCAACCTGATTCCTATACTGAAGGTAGTAGTTATCATCAGAACTTTTCCACTTTCAACCATATAGAGGTATTCAAATCTACTTTAGTTTTTTCCTATGATACAATCGGGGGGAGAACGACGAGTGTAGAATCGATCACCCCGTACATTCATCATCTTCTTGAACATATACTGCGTCTGTGATATCGATATTCACATTATTTGTAATGAAATTATAGCTGCACAGTTTCAACACACCAATATGAAGGGAAGGCTCATTAGATACATTTATTTCAATTTGTAGATATAATGTTTTTCAATCAACGTGACAGATTTATGAAATGAAACAGCGACAACACTGCTTGAATTATTATCCAGGTCAAACATTGACCGCTACATTGTGACAGATCATCATGAAAATATACATGAGATATAGTGCTCAGGAATTATAATTGTATTTAGTATAAAAGTGCATCTGACCTCTAAAACCCAATCAGTGTTGCCGTAGTTACATAAATAAACCATAAATTATATATTTCCACCTGTTCACTAACTCAATTGAACGATGGGGTGAATGAAATCAAACCATTATTCCATAAAAGTCACCTCCTCTTCATATTAATTACACTTAATTGGAAAAAATGCTGTTGAAGGCACATTATATGTTCAGAAACCTCACACAAAAAACGTGCATCAAGCAAATATAACAGAGTGCGCTTTCCTCGCGGTGCGGCGTAATTTTTTTGCCATCAATCTCGTGAGATAAATGGAGCATTCCAAGAACAAAACTCCATACCTTGTCCTGTTTTATCTATCTTTGTTATAAATTGTGGAGGAAATTTGTGTGTAGCGTACGCGGAATGAAATAAGAAAAATGGTACTTTTAGCATCCAAGGGAAAAAGGCCTCATTTATTTCAGCAGGGTCTCTTCTGTTCGTGAAAAGAGAATGCCCTTTTCTCCGTGATGAGAACTCATAAAAAATATCATATGTACAGGGGGCTGAAAAGAAGGGAACCGGTAGATTATCTCGATAACTATCATCAAATCCCTACAAGAAAATCTGCTATAATAGAACTACAATATTTTGAGCTTTTTTTGTATTTGGGTGAAACTTTCATCACGAATTCAGTACTCATTGATCAAATCAGGAAGAATTCATGTATACAGGCTGATTCACGGTGAATGGTACATTAGACGTTTCTAGTTGTGTTCTATCGACCTGAAATATTCTCAGCGCTGCCACGTTGCCGCCTATATTGAAAAGTAGCAACAACTTTGAATTTTAGTAGTGGACACCCTGTACATCATTCTATTTTCAGATTCTCCCTAAAGAGCTGATTCATTCGATTTATCACACTTGGGGTCTAGCGAAGATGATAACAAAGATATAGGGTGTGAAAAATCGAGATTTTTCAATTTTCAGAATTTTTTGTGTCGAAACTATTCATAATTGGTTAACGGTTTCCATGTTCCCATCTCAACTTTTCATGTACTATCAATTTATATTTAATTGAAATAGATACAAGGTGATCTAAAATCTTAATTCTGAACCACCCTGTATTCATTTTGATTAAATATCAATTGATAGTGAATGAAATGTTGGAATAGGGACATAAAAACGGTTTTCACCAATTATGAGTAGTTTATACACAAAAAATTCCTAATGTTGAAAAATCTCGATTTTTCACATCCTATAACTCTGTAATCAATACTGCAATACCCCAAGTGTTATGGATCAGTGAAATCAGCTCTTCAGGAAGAATCTGGAAATGTAATAATCTACAGGGTATTCCATTTGAAAAATCAAAGTTGTTGCTACTTTTCAATATTAGCGTCAACGTTGCAACGCTGAGAATATTTTAGGTCGATAAAACACAACTGATTATACAAGGCACCAACTTTTCAGTCAATCCTGAGT